TTGCGAATCGAAATTACTGACAATGTATCTTCGTCAATCATAGCATTATCTGGACTTTCCCAATCTAAAGTCATGGTGACTAGTGATGATTTCTCATCCATATGAGCAGAACACGTAGGACTAGATGACGCTTGGAGAATCTTATTATTGTCTGATTCCATATTTGTCTTGTCGCCGTCACTTTGTGCGGTGTTACTGCTCCAGTCCAAAGCGATGTTGAGGAACGAGTTTGTTGTGTCCCATTCACTTGAGCATTTTGGATCAAGCCCTACTGTGCCGGTAACAACAATAAAATTCAGTATTACTAAGTGAAGCATCATGTTCAGTGACAAGATGTACGCCTGTCTAATGAAAAATTAGAAGTGAAGCCAGTGACAACTGCTCATAATGTGCATGTTTTTTATTGATGGCGTATTTATATTGGCAATACGCAGTGTACATGCCATTGGGTGTGTCGTGCATAGAATTGGTTCATTTACTGTTGTATTTGTTATTGCCAACAAAGGCGTAAATCTATGACTGAAAGTATCACCTTTGTTTAGAAGGTATGGCCGTGTCATGCTATATCTAAGCCTTCCTGTACAAGAATATACAAGCTATTACACGACCCCGATTCGCATCCCAGCATTGTCAAAATAAACTCTTCGCGGCATGGTCTCTCTCTGTTAAATCAAGTGTCTAACTAAAGTACATGCAAAACAAAAATGTGTTTGTTTATTATTTTGATGATATCCTGTCGCGGAAACATATATATCTTGTGTACAAACCCCCAGTCAACGCTCAAAATAAGAAAATTACTAATTATCCAGTCAGGGCTAGGACTTCAGACTGCGCAAGAAATTCAACTCATTTTTTAAGTCATCCTTATTTTATCTGTTTTGCGTTTTGCTTTTATTGTTGGAGGCTTTGGGTTTATTGTAGTTGTTGAGAAAAAAAATCACTTTTCTTTGCAATTTATGAATCATTCTATTTTCAATAATTAAAGTCACTCTGAGTCCTACGGCCTACGGGGCCCGATATTTTTACTTTGTGTATATTTTAATGTTTTTATATTTCTTGGACACACGTTCAAATTCACCTCCACACAAAAATATTTCAGAATTGCTCTTTTGCTTAACATTCAATTGGTTGTGCATGGTTGTTTACCCTAACACAGTGGTTCTCAACCTTTTTGTCTTAGCGGTCCCTTTTGATGCTCTCAAAGCGGTCGCGCACCCCTCAAAAGTTTTTTATTTGAAATTTAGTTCGTAGCTTAAACAGAAACCTAATGTTCCATACAGATTTAACCAAGCCAAAAATAACACCAAACTAGTGGACATTTCTATTTATTCTGTCAAATCGAATACACTTAATGGGATTTTTGCTGTTGCATATCAGAAGCAATTCTTGGAATAAATACGTGTTCGTGTTTTTGATAACGATAGACGCATATAGTCTTCGACGTTTAGTTGGTTACGAGCCATGGATTTGATATGAACGAGAGCAGAAAATCCCTTTTCACAAAGGTAAGTGGAGGCGAATGGACCAATAACACGTAATGCTTTCATCAATTCTTTTGGGTACGACGGCAAAATGGCGCACCAAAACTGAGGAAGTGATAACTGTAGCTGCGTTCTCGTATTTATCATTGTGATGTCATAACTCGTATTTGTCACAATAGGTCTACGGGAGATGAATCAAAATGGGTTTTGTAGGCTATGGTCATAGGCAGCAAATTTTCGAGCGTATTACAAAAAAAAACATAATAAACTGCAAATAATTTCCTAAAATCTTAATTTAATCGCGGACGCCCTGGAAATGCTTCGCGGACCACTGGGGGTCCACGGACCCCCGATTGAGAACTACTGCGCTAACATATATTTGATATGTGCTCCCTTGTCTAGGCATTTGTTTTATTTATTTTTGAGCTATTGAACTAATTGTAAGAAAGGAAATATTTTCAACATTAATATTGCATCGATACATTTAGGCTTGCACGTAATTGACAAAAATCAATTCCGTAATTACGGCCAAATCGATTACGTAATGACTCCGTAATTGCGATATTTTTTTCACACGTTTAAACCTATCATAACAACCAATTTAATCCACTTCTATTCCGAATGGGACATCGAAGTTTGGTTTTCATATTCCCGGCAGTACTACACGCCGGCGACAGATGTTAAAGACAAATATCAAGGAGTGAATTCAAAATGATTTTATTCTGATTTTTATCATTTGTATTAGCTTTGATTTTTTTTATCCACTTTATCACCAAATTTTATGCGAGCAATTTTATCATTACCAACACTGGTAATATATTTAAGAAATGATAGTTCACTTTTTTTTAAATCGTATTAACGTATTAATACGACTTTCGTATTAAATAAAAATTCCGGGTTGCTAATTTATTAATCAACTACAAGCGTATTCTCTCGTTTGATTATAGTTTCGCTTGCCTCGCGACGAAGACTTGTTATTTCACCGTTTTTTACAATATCCGACTTTACTACTTAGTTAGCATTTTATAATAATTATTGATGCCGACTTATTGACGATATTCCGAATTCTATGCTTCATTTTACATTAAATCATTTCGCGGCCTAAAAGTTATAACATTATTTGCGATAAATTTAGATCAAATATTAATTATTTGCGAATTATTTAAAATACCGTACTTATATGACATGCCTTCTCCGAAAATACAAAGTTATATCGCAAAACAATGCATTTTGTGACATTTATTTTGCACTCATGAAAATATTAATTTATTTTTCTAACTCAAGTCGACAATCCTATTTGCCAAGATTGACACAAGTTTGGTCGAGTGCCGGTGGTATTCGAGTCGACGATAAATCAAAATAAGTTGCCGCATTTGGTAAAGACAGGTAATCATATTCGGCCGACATATTGCGAGGCATTGTGAAAAACATATTGAGCAATGCGAAGTCCGGACAGATATATAACGATAAAATCGGTAACAGAACATCAAGATTTTGTAATAGAAAATGGATCTCGCGCAGAATAAACACGGGAAATTCCGTCGTATTGTTGTTTCTCTGCCGTCTCAATCGCTTTACCGATGCCGAAAAGACTAAGTTGCGTTGGTTCATTACGCAATTTCTCTTCCGTCTTTATATTGATGTTTGATAAGCGCGACATTAATTATCACGGCATTTACAAATAGACCCTGTTTTATAAGTTGATCTCTTACATTCTTTAGTCATTTCACCCGAAGAAGTTGAAACCAGGTGTGTTTACGTCCATCGGTCTCAACACAATTCTATTCCTTATCTACGGTTAATATGTACATTGGCCATCCCAGATAAGTTGATAATAGATTAGTAAATGACGCGTTATGCTTTCCCCTTTTTTGCCTAACAAGAGAGAGAAAAACGGCTGCGAATACCGGAACTATAACTTCTTTTACTTAAACTTTAATTTTTTACAATCGACGGAATTGACTGCTCTGAAGAGAGCTCGTTTCAATCGCGAAAGCGCTCGACCAATAATTACGACTTTACGTAATTCGTAACTTCGCTTCCGTAACTCGAAATAATTCCGTAAATTACGTGCAAGCCTAGATACATTAGTACATTTCCACCGAATATCTTAAAGATTATTATAAGACGTAATTTCTTGCAAATTTTAAAACTTCATCCTCCAAGCCAAGGCTGTGATGTCTTGCGTATTGCCATATAACTAATAAACAAATATATTACAGTTCATTGTACAGCAAAGCAAGACGCCAGTTAAACACAGCTTTATGTGGTATGGTATAATCCAAAATACAATGAGCGCGCGGAGAAGCAAAACGTATATATTTACGGTAAAATCAAGGAGCAATTATGAAATCATAATCACAAATCTAGTCAGTGTGAAAACAACAAGCTATAACGTAAATGCACAACAAAAGTAATAATCATTAATTTGAAATGGTGCTCCAGATGTTTGCGCACCAAGATGTCGCACATCCTGAATCCTAACCGGTACACACATACTAAGTTCAGGTTGTGCGCCATATCGATGCGCATACTACTGGAGGTCCTTTTAAATTATCATTTTGATGGGTAAACTGAACCATATTCTATTACATTGTTGATAGATTGGGGTTTGTTTGGCAATTATTGCAATATTCGTGATCTTTCGTTAGCATTAATATCTTTATTCGAATGGCTAGACGTGTCGCTAAATAACGCATTCTTAGTCTGAGACGTGCGAAGTCTATAATGAGTCAAATCTCTTAGTTTAAAAATGGTAAAGGTGATAAAGTGAATCACGCAAGCCCCTACCGTGACCAAACCTAATGAAACTACTATGAAAATTTCAGGACTCTTTGTCCAGTCTAGTGTGCCTGAGTATTTCATAGGACGAATGCCAATTAGGTGTAGTATCACTGTAAACAAAGTATACACTGCCCCATACAAAGAAACATAAACAAAATGAAGATATCGAGTAGGCACTCTGCTTAGTAGGTGATCCATTGTCATCAACACAGAATTCATGATATGTCGGTGAGTATTCACAGCGATTGAGTACATCCTGTTATCGGAGAAGCACCAATATGATATGGTCACAATATAAGAAACTCCGGACGCTGCTGTCATTACCACCCAGCATAAATTGTGGAACCATTTAATATCATCTGGAATAAAGATAATCATTTTGTTATTTGTGTTTCTAAACTTTATTAGGTTGAAATAAAATAGTGGTTTTTGATTTCAACTCACTTATTTGACAAGTGTTCCCATTACCACAACAGATTGTTCGTTCGAGGTTGTTTTTAAAACAAAAATCGGAATCTTGAATTAGTCCAAACATCGAGACGGCTAATGCCAATCCGAAGTGAACAACGAGGGTCCACTCTCCCCAGCTCGAAAGATGGGTAATATAGTACCCAGGATATGAACTAACGCAAAAGTTGGTGTCATAAATTGCCCAAATCAAACAATATAGAAACATAATCGCTCGATAGACGACAAAATATTCCTTTCTTTCTGTCCACTGCAAAAATGAAAATGATATTCAAGTCTGAGTAATTAGTAACACTTCATCGGTAAGCTGTAAATATTCATATACGAGAATGTGGTTATAACGACGGTATCACTCCTAGAATCCCACGGGGGATAATTGGGCACAAGAAGATTTTTGAACCCTTCGCCATTTCAAGGTAATTCACGGGGTTCCCCATAACATTAGTCTTAGATGGCAGTTGTTTAATGTGAAAAATCTTTACCATAAAAAAAGGTTGGTAAAATCGCACTATGTGGCATATATTGCGAGGTAATCCAAGTTGAGCAGATTTTTCCATAAACACTTTCTAATCACATCATATGTCTTACTGTTTAAACTCATTTAACGACAGAGTCCAGTTGATTTCATATGGGCATAATCACAGCGATACAATAGATACATTACATTGACATAATTGATATACTCAAGATTTGGAAAAAGTATTTATATGTAATTGTTCTGTAAAATCCTCGAACTATATTAAACAGCACAAGAGTAAAGCGAAAACCATGTTAGCATAACATGAGTCTCAAGAATTGTAAACAATTTTTGTGCAGACTGCAGATACAAATTAGATATTAGTTACACCAATGAAACAGCATATTAGCTAAACTATTCGTGTCAATTCCTTAACAGTCATACCTGGGACTCGTAAAAATTCTTCGGTGTGACATCAGTGAAACCAAAATGTTTGCATTGAAATTCGTATGTTACGGCTGTTGCCATATTGCACAGACAAACTTCTACTCGACAGGAATCATACGTTGAATAATCACTGTACATGTACGTCACATTGTTGATAAGGGCCAGCTTTACTCAGACCGGAAGTGTGTCATCGGAAGAACTAACTTATAAGTATGGTTAGACAATTGTTGAATATTGAAATATCGTTGCGATGGAATTAGTGACAAAAATAATCGTGTTAAAGGTACAACCAATCAGCAAACTGCTGTGTTCATTTATTGGAAACTTTTGAGAACGCACGCAACTCTTAGAAACCGGGCTAGTATCAGCCTCTTTTCTGCTTTATTGAAAAATTGTTGAAAGCTTCCATGCATTATCAGAAGGAACGTGTTTTATAATAAATACATTCTTTGCACAATGTTATCTCAAACATCGAATATACCATTTTATCACAGTTTCTGAGTATGTTAAAAGCCTAAATTGTATTTCAAAAATAGTATCATATATTCGAAACTGGTGTGTTTACTGTTTTGCATGGCACTTCGGTAAAAAATTTTCATTTAAATCGAATCACACGCTCCCACTCACAACACACACTCAAGTGTTCCCATAACTAGGATCAATTTCTAAAAGCTATCATTACACAGCGATATTCAAACATATCAGAACTGTGTCCTTTGGTATCATGGACTGGCACGGACAGAACAGGCGATAATTGTAGATTTTAGTTATCTTATTTGATTGCACTTTATAAAAATCTTGCTCGAACAATTTTAAATACGGCATGATAAGATATAGCTCCTGGTGGCTTACCGATGCAGGCTGCTCATCCAGCCAGGTTCTCTGCGGATGACAAGTTTTCGAAGCAAAGGATCGTCTGTAAGTGACTTTTTGGACTATTACAACAACCAAAGCCACCGGTGTGAAAGCAGGGGTTCAATAAAAATATTAATATAGACTAAAATCTGAACAAATTCTTAACTGCAGAATTGGAGAAAAGCTCACAGTATTTTGTATGTAGCCTAGCCTAGATTTTGAAATGAATTTGTATTGTCATATTATAAAAAAAAAATACTACCGTACGGTATCTTATATTCTGTCCTATCTTTAATCTAAAATTTGTATGGTAATATTTATTGTTTTATCGCATTTTAATATTGTATGATTTTGCCTAAAATAACTGATTGATAGCCTAATTTAATTTATCAAGTGGGCTCAGTATTAGTGGTCTTTTGTGTCTCTGAAAATGATATGACAAAGAATTTAAATAGACCGTGATGTGTGAGTTAGTGACATACTAATAAAACTAACAGTGTTTTATTATATTATCTTATATGACATTAGACTTTTTTGTTCAAATCCCATTGTTTTACTCGGAAGATTTTTTAAAGTCACTTTATCATCAGCAATGCCCAATCAGTTTGGTTATTTAAGGCTCTTGAGTCTTGACCAGTGATTCTCAAACTAGGTTTGAGAGCCGCATGCGGCTCTCAGCAACCTTTCCTGCGGCTCTCGTTAATGCTTTAAAAATTAATTATTTTTAAAAAAAAAATGTTCATTGAAAACTAATCATTGACTCGAAATTAAAATGCTGAGGTCTATTAGTCCAGGGGTTCTCAAACTTTTGGTGTCGCGGAGCCCTTGAAAAGGTTGACTATTATTCACGGAGCCCCAAAATAAATGTTAAAATTGTTACTTTCAGATTTATATTCCTGAGCAAGTTAAAAGTACTTTACTCAATTTAAATGCTGAACCTTTTTTAATAGGGTTAATACAAGTCATAAATAAATCTTAATTTCAAACATAAATTATATATACTAAAGCTATAAATTTGACACTTGACAGAAATACTATCTTTTCCTTTTTGACATTTTTGGAAGACTTAAAAGGCCGCTAATGCGCGATTGCATTTTGTTACAATCGCCGATTTTTTTCCTCAGCTTGGCGTGTTTTTGAACCTTTGAACATCTTTACGCCGGTGTTTATTCTCCCTAAATCAAAAATTTCCCTCGTCATATACATGTATTGTTACACAATGACGACGTTAATTGCTTTTTTGTTCTCGTGGAGAATTTTGAGTTCAATGTGAAAAACATGTTACCATATTATAGTCATCGGCGGCGAAATGATAAATATAATAATTAATAAAGAGGTAAATCCGCAACTCAAGAGGTAAATCCGCAACTTTTTCATTCTGAAACTACCGACGGAGCCGTATGCAATAAAATGTTCGTATTTTGCTCAGACATTGTGATATTTTAAACGGCGATATCGTGCTTAAAAATAATCTCAAATGCGAAAGAACAAATCAAGTTTGACAAATCCCAAGATCGCAAAAATACGACTCCAATTTATTTACAGTTGGCAGTTTATCACATATTTTATGTTATTTTAGAATACTATTCTTTCATTTTAGTAATCCTAATAGTAATCTCGAATCAAACGTGAGTAACGATGAGCACAATTACATTATAACGACGAGACACGTTAAATACCCGCATCGGTCATGAATTGAATATTTTACGCAACAGAAATTTCGTTATACGTTTTTTTAATCGCGAAGAATGTTTCGCGGAAATTTTCGATTTTAATTTTGAATTTGAACCACCTCCCTCTCAAGAATCCTGACTGCGCTTCTGCTTATAAATAATGTCATTTTTTAATTCCGTCTCTTTGCCATATTTCGAGGCTATATTATTGTCCGATTTTATCAAAGCTGTTATTGCCTCTTTGAACAGTCACAAAATTAGTCATTATTTTGAAAAGTAATTGAATAGCTCGCGGAGCCTCTGGGTTTCTCTTGCGGAGCCCTGGGGCTCCGTACGGAGCACTTTGAGAACCTATGTATTAGTCGAATGGATTCCCCCATGTTTATTTGCGTAGTGACTAACCTACAAGATGCAATAGTGACGCAACAGTGAGCGTTTTCACGGCCACTCGGACACTTTTCACTTGGAAAGATTTTAGACATGGCTGTAATCATTGGCTTGCTTCCGTGGATTTTGAGTGTTTGTTGCATTCCCGGATATTATGCATAAATCAAATAACTCAATAATTATTTTAATTCTAGAGCATTTTAATTTTGTTCCAGTAATCGAAAATAGTCCCGGAATATCTGGCGATCATCTCAAGCAGCTACTGCACTTTGCATCCTCCACGATTACGACCCGCTTTGACAAACTTATTAGAAATCAAAGCTGAATTAATTGGCTGTTAGTCTGGGGCGGGCAGAATCGAATCTTTTTTCGAATCGAATAATTTGAATATTTTTTTATACATAACAAGGATCCAGAACGTCGGAGGTCGATTCGATACACCATTTAGAAATTGATAGAAACATTGAAAAATCCACAAAAAAGCGTTTTTTTTACTGGTTAAAGGTTAATTATATCATATTCGCTGATTGTCACTACGATCGTATTGGCGGCGATATCCTAAAGTTGGTATTTTATATTCCCGCCCTTTCTCGTTTTTTGCAAGAATAAGCGGTCGGCGAATTTCGAAGTTTCATATTTCTAATATCCCCTTGCGTTCACATCAGCGACAGCTGTTGAATACATTAAGGGCTGATTTCAAAACCAAATTAATTTTATTCTGAGTTTTATCCTCTGCCTTGGATTTGATCTTCCTTATCACCGCTTGTAAATTAAACGTGTCTGTTTAAAGTGAACGGTAACCGAAATGCAGATGTTTAAAGGATAATTGAGTTCTCATGCTTTTCTATGGTGTTCGTGTTATTTTAGTATTAGATAGATAAACCTAGCAAATTTACGACTGCGTGAATCCTGAGTGTTGATTTAAAATAGCGATTAAATAAATTGGCAATAAAGGCATTTCTAAGCCTTCGTGCCTAATAGAGGGCCAGACGCTAATTATACCTAATTCCTTCAAGTTTTAACATTTTTTTTTTTCAGCAAAACAACACCCGATGGTTATTATAGCTAAAATACTTACTGAGTAATGCTCAATTTTCTTTACGGAATTTGCAAATTCAGCACTTCACCTAATGATTTTGATTATGTCATGCTATAAGGCTTAATTATTACCACCTAATGCTTCAAAATTTACCAATTGTAATCATTTTCGATGATAATAGACGCAACAATTCGTGAACGAGTCAGTGTGCATTGTCACAACGAAATTCACTTTGATTTTACGTTCTACTCCTGGCTCAACGGCCATGCATGGTCGATTACAATGTTACATATGCAAAACATTACTTGGCCAAGGATGGAAGGGATCAATAAAGAGCTAATACAAAGTGCTTTAAAGATAGTAGGACATGACATTTCTTATCTGGTTACAACTTAATGAGTATTTTTCATACAAGTAACTCATACCAGCTTTTGAAAAATCTTTTGGTCATTTTTAAATCCATGCTATTTACTTAACTAGAGTTTTCTAACGACCTAAAATAGCCTTTTTCACAATGAAACGCCGAAAAGTCATTTTAACATTCAATTTCAATCAACTTTATGTTCGGTAATGCAAGAAACGGCTAATGACATGACACCAAGCATGTGGAGTTTAAAATCTGGGAAATTTATTTTAAATACCTAATCTGGTTTGATGTTTATAAATTTACGGAACGGTCGGTACGTTTTTTTTTTTGCAAAAAAAATGATTTGAATTGATACGTTAAGTGCAAAGATAAGCATATAACACCATAACACAAAGACAACGATTTTTTTTCTGATAGCGAGCGCCGTTGGGAAATCTCGCACAAATCACGACTGAGTTGGAGACGCGCGAGTTCGGTGTCCGAGCAGAGCGGCGCAGGTCACGTGGTACCGGATATTCGAATAGTAAAATGTCAATCGAATATTTTATTATTCGAATATTTTGACCAGACCTAGTTGTTACGTGTGTTGTTGTTACGATGACTTGGTATTTTAAATACGCGCTTAAGGTTTGTTGCTATTTTACCTTGCGTTGTATTTGTGCGGCTCTTCATAACTTTGAGGTCTGAAATGCGGCTCCAGAACTAAAAAAGTTTGAGAACCACTGGTCTTGACTATCCGCACCAATTTATCACATTACATTTCACACGTTATCTTTCTATGAGATGAGATTGAACTGGTCATTATTAGCTTAAATTTTAAGAAGTACAATACATTCGCGTATTTTTTGTTTGTTCATTTCTGACGCAGGCCTCGTTTATCTAGGTTTGTGTTTTCTGTGTGTAGGTGGGGGAGCGGGCACATGATATTTCTCATGTTTTAAATTTTAAAGGTTTTGCTCGCTCTCCAGGATTCTTCATTTTAATTAGTGTAGATTGTGGAATTTTAAAAATAAAATATCGGTACCCCCGTAGTATGTGAACCAAGATGACGGACACCGGAACGTAGTATGTGTACCAGGTTAGGGTTAGGCCATAATTTCAGGTACAAATACTACGAAGTCACTTGGCTAGTCTCCGAACTCGTAATAGAACTAAAATAATGCAAATTGGAATAAAATTATGGCATAACCCTATTTTGGTTCACATACTACGCTCCGGTATCCGCCATCTTGATTCGCGTACTACTGGAGTACCGAAATATCTATATCTATCCATAAGATGTTTCACCTAGAACGGCACAGAATTCAATATTCAAACTTACATCGGAACAATCCTTATTGATCGGAAGTACGAAATAAAGTTGTTTTGCTTACAAACTGAGCAATGTCGACTAAATGGTTATTTACAAAAAATTGGATGCCATCGAGACGCACTACGCTCATTCTGAAGAAAAATGTTTCCCATTTAATTTTATTTTACAATAATCGTTTCATTATTCAACGAACTAATTTACTAAAATTATGTACCGATTCCGATGAATCATTTAGACTTCAACATTTATTAAGAATTTTATTTTATATGCTTAAATTTGTCGAATCTACTGATATGTCCATTTAATACCAACAAATGAATGTTTGCAAATCGCCTCCTCTAGGTGAGAAATAGCCTATCACGACATGGTGCAAGAAGCTTTGTTTGAGCTGCGAGCACCATGCGACTCCTAACACACACTTCGGCACAGTCAAGTAGCGAAGACGCACAGACTTCACCGGTGCTGATATGTGCCGATCGGCCTCAACTGTAGCGGCGGCGCTTAGTCATTCGTCTCTCTTTTCTGAAGCTCTATCGCCGTCGTCAAAATATCAAACGATTCAAAGAATTCGTATACTAAAAAGTAAGAAAGTGGTTAAATTAAAAAGAACTCAGTCGTCCGCAATTCTTGTATCATTATGCAGCGTGGAGGGAATTCCTTCTCTTTTGTACACTCTGCGATCACAGGACTTAAGGAGCCACAGTGGCCAAGTGAGGTGCAGTATCTTAATTTAACATTTGTACTGGGTATAAGCTAGTAATGTAATAGTAGTGGTGTCCTGATGGTGACGTCAGTATTGAAACGGTCAGACAATTTTTCATTCTCATTTATGCATTACAGTAGTGTGTTAATTATAAAAGGGAACAATCAGTGAACATGTAGCTGTGGGCTGGCGATCTCTTTTCGATTTGGTTACACAATTTAATCTTATAACCTGAATATAACTAATATCATTTTTTTTATCCTTCTTTCAGCATTTATTCTGTTTATGGATATTGCGAATATATGAAATTTATAAAATCTGGGATGTCACGACTAGCTATAAATTCAAAAAGTTAGAACATTTAAAAGTCTGTTTTTTTTGCCTTGCATTCTAATTTCTGGAAGACATTTCTTTAGTCAAAATAGCTGTAATAAGTTTACTAATTACAATTTTAATTCCAGTTTTCCTGGAGGTCAATTTGATGAGAGTGACAGAGATGTGATTCATACTGCAATCAGAGAAACGGAAGAGGAAATTGGTATACCACAATCTTCAATCGATGTTTGGGAGGTTTTACCACCAATTGGGAGGGTAAAATACATATTTAATTGACTTCCTACTTAAAAGGCTTTTTGTGTGTAAGCTTACAATCAATATTTTTAGTACTACATGAACCCAATCCATCCAGTTGTTGGGAACCTTGGCAGCGTAACAGTTGATAATCTCATGATAAACGATTCGGAGGTGAGTACTATAAAATTTTCTTGATATATCGTTGAGATTTCATGTACCTGTTTATTAATATGATAAAATTTTATTTTCAGGTCTCTAAGGTATTCACTGTTCCATTAGAATATCTATGTTGTCGTGATAATATAAAGCAAACAAGTTTTCGTCCTCCTGTGGATTCCGCCTATGCACTACCATATATTTTGCCAGTGTTCACTACAAAACCTAGGATATGGGGACTGACAGCTGTAGCAACAGAGTTATTTCTTTCCACTATGTATCCTGGTATATTTCCTAGGCCTGTTGGTAAATTCTTACCAAGGTAGCAAAGACTCGCCTTTTCTTCTTCATATTGCTATATGGTAAAAACCTTTTAATCATTATCTTACCGTAATTAGTGCATTTTACTGTTTTATCTGCACAATTAAAATTATATTACTACTTATTTATATGTTAATTTAAGTTTTCAAGTGTGTCGATAATTTCAAAAAGGGTGAAGTGATCACCTGTTTTTTTAGTATTGCTGGGGTTTTAAATTTGAAGAACATATTCATTGCCTTATCTGCTTTTTCAGGAATTGAAGTTCATATGCTTTTTTGTAAAATATATACTTGTAAGTATATTTGACATCATGCTCCTCAGGGAATATTTTCGCTATGTATAAAACATGGAGAGATATTCTCTGTTCAAAAGTTTTAAATGCAAACAATTTAACTACCATCTAAATCACTTAGCATGGAGATTCTGTTCAAATCCTTGTTTTTGAGAATTTTATATTGCAGGTGAATATTTATATCTTTATGAGATCGGCCATTAAAAATTGGGGAGTTCTGCTAACAATCCTGATTAACTATGCACTGCAGTTGGGAGACTAGAAAGGTACAAATGCACAACAGTTGCCATAGGAGCCAGACGGATGTGATTGTCAGTATTCGTAATATTGTCACTCTGAAATGGCTGATAGAATGTCATAAATGTTGTGGTTATTGCCAGATTTTGATTGGATGTACTCATATCTCTGGGTGTGTATTGATTGTGTATCTAAAATCGGTAAATAAAGCATATTTATTAAAATCCACTTAGTACGATTTTATTTGAGCACATAAATCAGTAAATAAAGAATTGTTAATCGCAATGATGTTTATGGCTGGCCACAGTTTTAGTTCAAACATAAGAATAAGCGCTTTTTTATAATAATAAAATAATCTCAACATTGCAGTCCTTATAGAAAAAAAATTTAAGTTCAGATCTAGTCTATTCAGGAAGAAGGTGGTGTTACTGTTGGTGGATATTCAGGTGCCATGTTGAATGGAGTTCTTCTCAACCAAAGATCTTTGTTTAGCTAGATGAGGAAAAAGTGAGAGTGTTTGTTACTTGGTTAGTACTAATATTCATGTATTTTGGGAAACAAAGATAAAGTTACCGGTAGTTTACAACATAATACCAGTATAGTGGGGCTGGGCATTTTGAATCGCCACCATCTTGTTTTTTCCCTTTCCGCCAATGGTCTAGGTAAATTTCTCAATTTTTTTCATTGAAGCCATATTTTTTTAACGCTATTCTGAAATAAGACTCTTTTCTGTAGTGGAGTTATTGATGAAAACCTGTTTTTTATTGTGTGTGAATGTTCAGCAATTCACGTTTCCAGTAAGTTACGTGTCTGGAGGACCCAACCAATACAACAAGAAAGTTACATACAATTATATATATCTCAAGATTCGAAAAAAATATTCGATTTGATTCTGAAGTCATCGGGTATTCGAAAATGCCCAGCCCTACAGTATAGTAAAACATCAATCTTCAGGTAATACAATTTCATATTTAACTCAACTTACCTTACTGATTGGATTAAAATGGCTTGAAAGATATTTGGGTGCAGAAGCAAATCTTCTAGGGAAAGCGGTTGAAGGATGTCCTTGGTATGCTTGACCATAATCTGTAGTGTAATGCCCGGACCGTTCTGCTTTTAATTCTGCAATCCACTTGTCCTTCATTTTACTGTGAAGACCATAGTTTGTTGGTTTTCCTGTAATCCAAAATTTTTATGAAGTCTCATTGCTAGTCATTATTTTAGAGAATAGTTTAAACTTCTTGTCCAACCATTTTTTGTCACAAAAGTATTGTTAAATTTCAGTTCAATTCATCCAATATATAGGTAGAAAAAAGATCACCTATATATTTTCACGTTTGATAAGGGGCAATTCTCTAAAGTTAATGAATACTTCATCCCCAGATTTCACCTAGAGCCTATTAGCAATATTCCATAAAAATGATATCTTAACCTACCTTGCATAGGATAATCAGATCTTTCAGGAGCCCAGGCGAGTTTGTGTCCATCCCATTTACGTACATCTGGTAGCCTGTCATTTTCATCCCTCATTCTCTTATTAAATTGTTCATCATACCATGATATTAAGTTGTTGCTGTATCTGAAAAAGTTATGAAAGCATACTTAAGACTTAATGATCTGACATGAGCTTTAAAACTTTAATCTCTACAGTGATTTCTCAAAATTTTTACTAAGAAGTAATGAAAATATTGTAAAATTCATGAAAAGTTTGAATTATAAAATGTTTGCTGTGACTGTTGTGATGTAGGTAAAAAACATATACAAGTGTACAATAATCTTTCTTATAGCTGAACTGGCAATGCTATGTACAGTAAGTGCCCATGCAACTGTGAATGTAGGTCGTACGTTTTCCCATGATGAGTGAAAAGATTTTCTTTGCGGAGTCCTTCATTTCTCATTAATGCAGAACGTCGAATTGTGACATCAGGCTTGTGATTTTTATACAAACGAAAATCAGTTAAATGTGTGCTTGTATTTGAATGTGTTCCTCGTTGAAACTGAAAACAAAAATTATTCTGTAAGAATGCAGAATTCAGATATTCGATATTGCGTTAGATGCATCAATTCATATTTGAGTAACTAACCTGTTTTCTTTCTTCACACCAATTTCCTATAAGTGTATTGTTCGAAAACCGCTGCTCAATTCGCCATCCCGGCATGTGCCATTTCATTGCTTCACCTTGCTGCATACTGGTGATTCGGATTACTCACAAAAAACTTTTGCAGAATGAAATGGTTTTCTTATATTATTTAATAGTTCATAATACAGTTTCACTCCTTTGCACTAGATAAGTTCTGTTTATATAAATTTATAAGATAATACAGTCTGGAATTGGAGACACTATAGCAACGTTGCTAAGGCCAAAAATCTCGAAAATATTTTAAAGGAAGGAAGGGGGCCAGGTTGGCTCCAATAATTGGTCATAATATTCAGGTGCATGAGGTTATTAGCAAGGTGTAGCGGAAAAATATTGTAAAAAACGTGGATATGGGGAAATAATAAATGGTTGACTAAGAACTCACAACGGACGATTTAAGAAGCCTTGCATCAGCGCTGCTAAGCAATGCTTCCAAAAAAAGAAATTTGATAGCCGGGTCTTTCATTTGTTGCCAATGGAACCTCTCGCGCTCATTAGCAGATTCTTCAAGAGTCCAAACAGGTCAAGGAAACCCTCAACATCTCTGAACCTTTTGCTTTAGCGTCCTGCAAGACTTGCTAAAGGCCCGTTGTCAAGGCCTTTGCCGCCACCTGGTGGGAAATGTTCTCAAGTAAAAATGTACCGATACCACCTTTTTCTCCAATATTTCAAAAATCTGATACCGATAATATGTAATTATCTTCTTGGTTGTATGTGACAGACGAGATAACATAGTTGTCTTCGAGCTGTATACATGAGCACGACATTATAAAAGCTCAAAGAACAGGTATTTCGGAACATGAAACATAAATTGATATAGGATTTACATATTTGGCGATAGTATTCCTAACGCTTAGCACGATGAGCCACACTACTCGCGGTTAAAAGTACTGGAATTTCTCGCATATGACCATTCCCGCATGGGATTCGAACCCACGAAGAGTAATCAGAAGTGCGGTGGCGAGCGTATTCCTAACGCTTAGCACGATGAGCCACACTACTCGCGGTTAAAAGTACTTGAAATTATTACATCGCAAATTGCTTTGCAACTTAGTACGTATGCAATAGTGTGCCTCAACGCTCTCATTAAATAAACAAATCGTGGTAGTTTTCCGCAGACGTTTCGATGCGCCCATTCGCGTGAAATCGCCGGGTTTTATTAGTTCGATCCCAATAAGCTATGCACTTCGAAAAAAAAAATTTCAAAGTACCGTATTACTCATTCCTTTTACACAATTGTGGTATTCTTAAGAATGGTTCTCATATTACATCTCAATGATGCTTCTGACGAACATCGACTTCCTTGTATCTGTTTTTTCGTGATATTTGCCGATCAGGAAGAGGTTAACGATGACGTAACAATTACAATTTTGGCAGTCTCCTTTTTCGCATAAATAGTTTTATTTTGACTTCTTAAGCAGAAAACCAGACAAAAAAACAATAGCCAAAAACAAATAAATGAACGTTAAAAATAAAGAGATTTATAAATAAGTTTATTCTGACTCCGTAAGCAGAATAACAGACAATAAAACAATAGTTAAAAACAAATAAATGAACGTTAGTCGTTTCGTGAGTCGTTCAGAGTGATAAAGTAGCCTATGGACCTTTCCCCGAGCATCGACTTCTTTGTTTACTTCGTGACATTAGCCAATCAGCAATACACAAAACGTGACGTAACAATGTCCCATTTTCCCGTCCGCTCAGACACTTTTTTCACTCAGACAGATTTTCAGGCGTGGTCGTAAACATTGCCTCGTTTTGGCATTTTTGAACTCTATTCGTTGGTTTTCATTTGTCTTTCGGAAATTTGAATATAAATCAGATAATTCAATGTTCATTTTATTCTCTTAGAAGTTCTAGTTTAATTGCAGTAATAAAAAACTGGTGTAGAAATAGGGTGATAGACTAGGCTCAAGGCACGGCGGTGTGGCTCAACGGGCTAAGCGTTAGGAATACGCTCGCCACCGCACCTCTGATTACTCTGCGTGGGTTCGCAGGTTCGAATCCCATGCAGGGATGGTTATGTGCGAGAGGATTGCTGGACTCCTCGCCGTCGTTGGGTGGTTCACGTAACCGCTGGTCGGTTACGGCTTCCTCCACCACCAAGTCCATGCTTCCGAAAACAAATAATACAGTAAAACTAATCCCATACCCGACTTGGAATGGTAACTGGACGAGGGGCCGTTGTTCGCCATATGGATGATCCGTCTTATCGACTTTCCTCTCCCCCGGGATAAATATGTAAATCCTATCCTCCTATCCTTTACCGGTACTTTTAAAAAACAGATTGTTGTATGCGATGAATTATAATGATGGTGAAACAAATATCTCATATTACATTCGCCAACTCGCGAAACCATTCTTAAAATAAGCTCCTAAAATTTTGCAATGGTGAAGTATTAGGGTGGCCATATTTTCCAAACCTTAAAAGGAGGACACATCATTTGGTAGAACCTCATTTCTGTGCCTGAGATATACATTATATATATGCTCAATTCCCTAGGATTAAATATAAAAGCGACGACAATATCGTTAAAAAACATACACAGAACAATCAATTTATTTGTCATTAGAGCATGGGTATTTGGCAGTTCCTTCGTGAATATTGTTGAATTATTTTTTTCAATATCGTAAAACCGTAAATATATACTACTACGGTAGAACTGGCTGCAAGAAGTGTCAATCAAATTTAGTGAGTACATTAGCAGCAGACTCAAATGGTTCTTTCGGCCATTGTGGTTGCAGTCAGGCAGTAGTTTATTTTATCACAAACCTGGGAAAACCTTCTTCATTAGATTTGACGTACAATTGTTAGATCTGTAACACTGGTAATGTTTTACACAATGAAACGTCACTCTAGCTCCGGCAAGAGCAACCTTTTCTCCAATATGAGTTGCAGGCGCAAAATATAGTCGGTCTCTCGCCGATGATGATTCTTCTCTAACAGCTGTTTTATGCTTGAACTCTCAACGTGCAACTGTTGTTAAGCTTGCCGTTATTCGCCACAGAAACGAAAGTGTCATAGACTCATAGCCGTATGTAATGCACTCCGCTTCGCTATCAGTTTATCTTTTCTAAAGCATGGATACTTTTTCCTTAGTTACTGAGTGATAAAGGCATTTCTTTCCGGAATAATTTATTGGGTCTGCTGACGTAAATCGAAACTTTACCATATTGTGAAATACAACGTGAAATGACGTAAAAAATAATTGCAGAACAAAACGATTTTTACGTTATAA